GGGGTGAGTAGAAAATGAAGGCTAATCATGTTTTGGGTGTACTATTCCTTTAAGGTTCATTAAATAGAAGGAGGAGTTCAACGTCTGCAACATCCACCCGCTCTGTAATGACGTCATTGAGGAGTTGAATTGGATTCCACTAATAACCTGCTCTACGTCCAAGAAAGTCAAGGCAGTGACTGCAACATGCTGGACACACAAATCTGCATTTATACAAGCTGCATTGAAACAACTACTACTACTACTTTAAATTGTATCAAAGTGTTAAATGTTCTGCTTTTTCCCATGAAAACAGAACAAATAAAACATTGAGCAAAAAGTGAGATGAAAACTGACTTTTGTGAGATACTGTATGTAGGGATCTGCATTTTTGTATCTCGTTAATATTTAAAGGGCAGCATTTAAAAAAAACATATCATCTGCTTACCTTGGAAATGGTTGGTTTCTCAGTCTGAGGGATCCTGAGATTAATGGGTTCACCAGTGGGGCTAATTGGGCAGGCAGATGGTGGCGGGAGCCGGTACACATTCTGACCTTTGCCATTCATCATATCTGGGACCTAAAACACAAAAAAGGGGCAAAAGAAAAAATTGTTTTTATTTTTTTATAATGTATGAAATTAATTAATGCTTTCAGCGATACACTTTCCCCTGTTTTAAAAAAAAAAAGGGTTTATTTTGTTGTAGTTTTTTGGTCGTGTTTACATCCACAGTTCTCAGTCATCATGTCAAATATATTTGGTCTCACCTCATCCTCTGTTACACTTTGGGGGGAGCTTGGAGATGTAGCTGGCTCCCTAAATGAAGGATTGTTTCTCATCCAGGCTCGGCAGATTGGATACAGTGGGGTGCTGGTGTTGAACTGAGCTAAATCAACACTACGATCAAACAACTTGATAATGTATGAATCTAAATAAATAGTAGAGAAGCAGAAAATACAAGGAGAAATGAAAAGCCGCATTATATAAAATGCCAAAAATAGGAAAATTAACAAACATTAAAAAGAGAACAATTGCTATCAAAATATCATCGCCTTAATATCCAGACACATGAGCTTACTCTGTTTATGTTGATTGGTCTCTGGTAAGCCCTCATCCATTTCCTTTCGCTTCTTTCTCCGGTGCTGTGGAAATCTTACAGAAGGTCTGAAAAAAAATAAAAATATTTATAAATAAAGATCAAGGCTCATCAGAATCACTAGTACTTTACACAGTAGACAGCTGACATAAATGTGGAAGTATACAGTGTAAAATAAAGAAAATGCACGTTGGAAAGTAACAAAATGTCTGGCAACATCCAAAACATTTTGGACAGTTACCTTTTTCCAGCAGATGTTGGAGACAAATCTCTGGATAGAATAGATAGACCATTTGATAATTACAAATCAATAATGCCATGATGGTAAGGAGATACAAAACATGATAGACTAGATACAAAGCAAAATGAATAAAACACTCATCCATACTTGTTCAAAGAGTCCACTGACAACTTTCCAGAATCTTCATTCAGTTCTCTGTTAAAAGTTTAGCAAAGGAGTTATTAATATTTTAGTGCTAACAATTAAAAGAATGAATTGATCATCAGAAGTGTTTTATAAACCTTTCATTTTCACTCTTTTCTACAAGTCCCTTCAGCACAGCATCCAACCTCCCACGGGCACCTGTGCTTTCCAAATCTAAAGAGACAAAGCATTAGTTAAAGAAAAGAAATATGTTGATTAAGTCTGTATTATCTGTATATTTACGATTTTATCGAAGAGTAAATCTGTAAATGTATGCATGTGTGTTTTTGGTGGTTTTACATATAAATCCATTTAATTAAAGCCAATACAAATCATGCTAGAGCTATCTTAATAGAATAATAATATAAACTCAAGACACTAGATCTGATGTTATTAACTGTGTAGTTGATGACCATTTTATTATATACTATTATAAAAGATGTCTTACCTGGCCTTTCTGTCTTTATCTTGACGTGGTGCATTTTTGTCTTACAGAGTTACCTTTTCAGTAAAAAGGACAAAACACTTACAAAAATAAACAAACGGACCTAAAATAGCTGTTTTTTCCCCACTTCTAACTGGGTTCTTTGAGCTAACAACGACCTCTTGTTGACTCCTCTGTAACAGCAACGTTAGCCAGCTAGCAACGTTAGCCAGCTAGCAACGTTAGCCAGCTAGCTACGGTTAGCAAAAATGAGTCTAAAACACACACTCTATGTACAGGTATTAAAGATTACTGTCCATATCTTGAATAAAATAAACATACGTTAATCATAAATATCTAATTCCGTCTATAAATCATTCGCAGAGTGAAATGTTTAAGCTCTAATACTGTTGCTAACTTAGCTTGTTTTTGACAAGCTCGAAAACAGTTGCTGGCTTTCCTCTTCCGCGCGCTGTTGCTCTCCAATCAGCCGATTGGCGTCCCTGTAAACCCTGTATCGCCTTTGATTGGACAATTCTTACGTCCATCATTTTTTCCTAGCTGTCTATTGGCTGGTAGGTGAGCAAACGTAGCAACGAATATGTCCTGTTTTTACTTCGACGCTATCAAGAGGTATTGGGAGATTAACAAAACCAGATTGTGTTAAGTTATATTTTGTTTTATAAAGAGCTGAATTTTGGTCTTTTTTTTTTTACATGTGATATTAGCTGTATTTCCGTATTGGGGTTTGATTCCATAGTAACTGTTTGGGACAAGGATATACAAGCTTATAAAAAGCTTGTCTATATGTAAATGCCGTTCAAGTCACGCCAGTTAGTTGTCATGTTAAGCTACTTGCTTAATAGATCGTAATGCCCTGAAGTTGTCATGAAATCCAGGTAAGAATTAACGAATATATATGTACTTTTTAATTGTAAATTACAGTTACTAAAAATGTGTTACATTTATTTTAGTGGATCCGTGTTTACCAGGCAGAATCCATTCCCACCTGCATCCAGGGTGAAGAGGGCACACTATCACCCATCATGCAAGCAGTCTCTCTCCCAAAAAGAGAAAAAAACAGTAGGTTTAAATGATATTGTCATATACATATCGTGTTGTAATTACAAACAGGAGTTTGAACTCCTGTATTTTTATAATTATTTTGGTGTGGAGAGCTTTAGACCTTCATCATTCATCTAGCTGTGCTTCTATAACTAGACCTCAGTCAATCAATTTACGTAATACATTGAATTTCAGTGAACATTGTTTGAACTTAGATTGGATTGGAATGAAAGTGTCTGATTTGATCTGCTTGTACCATTTCATTTGTTGTTTTTTTTGTCTTAGACTCTGAGTCCTGTCCGGTTACATCAAAGTGACAATCATCCACCTCCCTCCCCAAACCGGAAACGCCATCAGCTAAATGAAGATTTAACTTTTTCCACCAAAAATGGACAAAAGATGTTTACTGAGATCTGGCCCTCCATCGAAAGTGAATCATCTACTGACAGCAACCCGGACTGTCCTGATATGTCCCCAGACAAACCATCTGTGAGGTTCAACACATCCACAGCCCCCTCTGGAGCAGAGGAGGATTCTGTGCTTGCTAAGTATGTTTGCCTGTGTTATTTCCCAGTGCCTTACAGAAGTATTTATATTCCTTTAATGTAGCTTTTCATGTTTCAACCACACATTTCCATGTATATAGTTGGAATTGCGATGTTAGACTAAAACATTTGAGTTCATTACTGTGAAGTAGGAGAACAAGATTTACAAAAAGAAATCGTTCTTGCTGCTGCTTACTCACATTTATACGTTTCTATGCAGAATAATTACAGTTGCAAGTCTAACAGCTTTGCACAAATTGAGACTGAAAATGTAATTTTTCATCTGAAAATACTTTATATTCCGATTGAATAGAGTCTGGTGAAAGATGAACTCCTTTTCTGTTACAGTATTTTGCAGCCTCTTCTGGCTTACCCTCCATTTAGCTCCATTTATATTTTTTTATAATTTAATGAATGTTTTTTAGGATTAATAAGGAAGAATCACAAGTGCGTGATGACGGTACTACCTCTGCCATGTTACTGTATATGACAGGAATGGTGTCATCTCTCACTAAATTTTGTTCAGTTTTACTCTCATCTAAACAAAACACCTTCATATACGCACTTTTCATGTCCTCCATATGATCCCTACAAACTGCAAATAAGTTTTCCCAATATTAATATTGGTCCTCTCAATAGATTCTTTCACCTGGCTTCAAATCTCTGGAGCTCATCTAGAGCAGGGATTCCCAAACTTTACCATGCCAAGGCCCCCCTACACCAGTACATTTTCAACTGAGGCCCCCCCTAATATGAAACATGCGTAAAAACTCATGTGTAAGCTACAGCGACAGGATTAAAAAATGAGTGAACAAACCACCTAAATAAAAACAAATTTATTTTGTAAAGATGAAGTCACAATTATATTTTATTAAACTTTAATTCATTAATTTAATGAATGAAATATAACAATAACATAGGCCCACCACTTTAATTTGAATTACCTTTTTTAAAAGATGAACCTCTTTATACCTTGCAAAAACAGAAAGATTTTTGAACAAAAAAAAAGTTTGTCCCAAATTAAAAATGCAGGCATTTTATATAATGCAGGCCTAACAACAAATGTTGGCTACATGAGAGATGCATAGACATACCATGCTAATGGGAGCAGTGGGCCTGATGGCTTCTACAGTTTGTCCAGTCTGGGCTTGATGTCTGTCAGAGCAACACATATGTCATTCTCCACATTCAAAAATGATCTGTGTTTAGTTTTCAGTGCTTTTAAAGTGGAAAAGCCAGACTCACACAAGTAAGTGGTTGCAAATGGAAGGAGACATTTCAGAGCCCTCTCAGCTAGGGTGGGAAACTCTTGTCTTACATACAGCCAGCAAATACCGGTATTATTTGTAAGCTTTAGCTGAATGGTTTTCATAATGCGGTTATACCCAGACAGGAATATTTTAATTATTTTTATTCAATAAAAATAATTTCATGTATAACTATTTTTTTTTTTCTCTATCTTCCCGCGGCTCCCCTGGAGCCCCCACTTTGAAAACCAGGGATCTAGAGCATATGCGTGCCTCCTGAATGCTTCTCCTTTTGGTGCCTTTTAGTTTAGATTACCGTAACAACCATGCATTGTAAGTTTGTTGTAATTTTTCAAACCGTACCACTGAGTTTTAAAATTTCAACCAGGTGACAAACATTTAATGGTTAAAAAATACTTGAGTAAGTCAATCAAAAAATAAATATGTATTTCTGGCACTTAGAAGTACTATTTACTGTTGTAGATACGTAGAACGTTTTCGTCATGGTCGACCTCGGAGTCGAGAGGAGCGCCGGCAAATGGCCTCCGCTGACGCAGAAGAACCGAGGCCTTTATGGTGGATGGCTCACTCATCAGTCCCCAGTTTGGCCCCAACTCCATCATTAAACAAGGGTAAACTCCCTGTTATGGTATCTTTCTGTAAATTCAATGAAATGACCGTTTTCCTCCAACAAACTAAATATTTACATTTCTCTCTGATTACTGATGTTCTCCGTTCCTAAAAGATGACTGTGATTCTTCGGCTTACAGTCCAGCTGAGTGGCGTCAACAGGAGACATCCTTCAACGTGAGTAGCTTTTAGTTTTTAACTGTAACTCTGTAAGAAGATGTGCTTTGCCATCTAAACATAGAAAAATAATTTTGTTCCATTTTTTTCCTTGTATACGTCATAATTGGAGGCGCACTGATCGGTTTCTGTTTTCTTTTGATTTCTGACCTTTCAGTTCAGATTTTGATATGTTCTAATTTATCACTCTACTAGCCACATGGAAGCTGAAAATGTGCTTCAGGTTCTTTAATAGAGGTAGAAGTTGTCGGAGCCAACAAAAATAAAAGAATTAAAATTGTTGCACTGACTTATGCATTGCAGCTTGAGCTTCTAAGCATTATTTAATTCTCTTTCTAACCAAAAAAACTCTATCAATTTAATTGTTTTTATCCCTTTATTTACAAAAAAATGTTGGGAGTTCTGATCATTGATGCATTTAATGAATAAAATAAATCAGATTTTACAGTATTCGGCCTGGCAATCATTGACTAGCGGATCGAGGGGAAATATTCTGGCTGTCATCTCATACTGGTTGATTTGTATCTCCATTAAAATGAGGGATGCATCATAGAGGTGGAGTGAGCGAACCATGATAGGAAGCCTCAGTCTTTGACCCATCTGTCTCAGGTTTATATTCCCTCATGGAGATCTGTACCACATGCTATCCCCCATTCTCTCTCTAAAGATTTACTGATTTACTGTATAATAATAAATAATAAATAAAAATAAATAAATGAACTTTAGTCATCTCACACTGGAGAAATTTACCTCTGCATTTAACCCATCCTTTTGGGGAGCTGTGGGCTGCCATTGTGTGGCGCCCGGGGAGCAATGGGGGGGTTAAGGGTCTTGTTCAGGGACCCAGGGTGCAGGCTGTGGGGATCGAACTGGATACTTGCTACCTTCTCAGAGCACAAGTGCACTGCTCTAACCACTAGTCCAACACTCCCTCTATAGCAACTATAGCTACTAATGATTAAAGGCCACTAAACCCAAAAAAGTGTGAAAGAAATAACTGCATAGATATTCTTCCTTTTTATTGTAAAGGTCCTTGTTGTAGGTGTTTAGGGAGATCTTTTCATAACGCTTTAAAATACACCCTTTAGTTTGCAGATGTCAAATATATCCTCCCTTAAAGCTATTTTGAAAATACTGGTATATATGTTAGCAAGCCAGATAATTATCACAATTAGTTATCGTTTAGATGCTGCAGTGTTTTTTATTCTGCTGGTATTCACTCATACTGGTGCTCAGGATGACTGAATGTCGGCGCTTTTCTTCTTGTCTTTGTCCTTCAGGCTGCGTCTGATTCTTCTGAGGGAGAATTTGATGACAAAGAAATACTTCACCTTCAAGAAAGAGCAAGCAGACTTCTACTGGAAGGGTATGTAGTGCAGCAGGTATGATGAATGATGATTGGATAATGAAAATAAAACGGTTATCTCTCCAACAGTGAATGTAGTCAAAGCGATGGATTTATCGCTGTCAGCTCGGATGGCCTTGGATGCTCTGATTTATCCTCTCCATTCAGCCTGGACGAGCCGGTGCGGCAACCTTTGGTCCCCACATTGAAAAGACCAACTGCTGGTGAGGCTAAAATGTGAAATAACCATCTTAATTTGATGATTATTTTCCATTTATATATATTTTTGTTGATATAACTGGTAGTTGTGTTTAATATTGTAACTGTTACACTTCTGCTTGTTGTTTTTGCAGCAAACCTTATTCCAGACTCTGCATCCTTCCAGAAACCTGCCGTCCCTACCATTGCACCACCCACACGTCCAGAGGATGATATTTTGTTCCAGTGGCGTTTACGGAGAAAAATGGAGCAGGCTAGAGACTGGTCTCAGTCCACAAAGACATCGGGGGTGTATGATTCTGCTATCAGCAGGCAGATCCCAAGTTTTGTCCCTGCATCAGCCAGTGGAGAGCCTGACAAGGTTGGACATAAAAGCACATGATGTATTTGTTGTTTTTTGAGTCACAAGTGAAGTAGCATGACTTTTCTCCCTCTTATCTAATCTGTAGCAGCAGTGGAGCTTTGAACCTCCTCAGTTCTCAGAAAGCGATCCACACATGTCTGCCCCCCCACCAGGGACCCACAGACCAGGTGCTTCAGCTCCAAACCCTCCACGCCTCATTTCTTCTGCCGTCCCCTCCTCTTCCTCTGCGATGTCTCAAACCAGGGCTCTTCCTCATGTTCCTGCTCACATGCATTTACTCTGCGATGTCCTTCCCTGCCCCAACCAGTCATTTGTGCAAAACATGACGCAAAAAGTTTCGGAACCCCAAACCAAAGTTGTCCACCGAAAAACTCAGGTATCAGAAAGCTTATTGAGTACCAACTGCAATGGCCTTGTCAGAGAATGTTTGCCCTCCTCACCGCATGGAAACAGAAAGAAAGAGGGATCTAGTCTGCAAAAAGTAGCAGATAAGAAAAAGAAGAAGAAACAGGAGACGGCAGAACCAGCTCAGAAGACGGGACTACCTTCCAGGCAGCAGAGGAAACCTGCAAGGTGATGTTTTTACAGGTTGACTCAGGATGTAAGGTCCTGTAACTGGTGTGTGGCAGGTTCAAGCTGCCACTCCATCTGTGTGTGTCTTTGTGGCTTGGTCAGAGGATCTTTGTCAGAGGGCCAACAGGAAGTGAATGTATGCTGCATGTATGACAGAACATAGTGTAAAACGCCTTGGGCTCCTTAGATTGATAAAGGGCCCTATTTAGGTACAGGCATGTACATGTATGCCTTAATTTCTATGCCTTCAATGAGTTCCTTCATTTCATCAATTCTCCTAAAAGAAAATAAAATAATTCATTATATAAAGAACAATTATGTGGTATATTTCTGTTTGACCAATGGATTGTAGTCTATAAAAATCGTGAATCAAAAAAAAAATGAATAAAATGGCAACAACATAAGAAAAAATACTTAATAATTGTTTAGGTCTTTCTTTATTTAAATGATTTATGATGACCAATGCTGTCTGTTTTTATTTCCACTAAAATTATTGTTAACATAAATCTATACATAAAAAAAATATATATATATATATATTCTTTGCAAAGACTGCCTACTGTCCGCATCAGTGATCTACTTGCGTTTCAAAAAGCTTTTTTCCATGTTTTCTCTGAAAAAATGTATTTTTTTCAAAGAAAATTCATCTGGGGTTTTTAAAAGCTGCAAGTCTTCATGAGTACAATAAGATATATTTGTCTCGCTTTGTGCATTGAACCCATGTGTTTCACTTTTTTGAATTAATTTCCTGATATTAATGAAGTGGAAACAAGTATTCTGAATAATACCATTGCATCTGTATAAATATGAATACATTCAGTATTTTAACTGGTGAACATTTTTATTTCTGTTCAATCAGGGATTCTCTCAATCCGAGCCTTAAAAAAAAGACGTCGTCATTTAAAGACGGAAGCGAGGAGGTTCCTGAGGAAAGCTGCACGAGGAGTCATGCACCGCCATCTTCTCCAGTTCACACTGCTTTGGGACAGGTAAAAAAAATCTGCAGAAGTCCAGTTTAAATACTTGAGTATCTTATTTCAAGTTTTGTTTTTAGTTACATGCATACCTGCATACCTCGAAAGGAAGTTTATGGTTCTATGCTTAATGGAAGAAAATTTAGTCATGTGTCCAAAATTTCTAGTAATGCAAGCAGATTTTTTTTTTTTGCAAAGTGCTTATGAAGGTTTGTGTCAATGATCCAGGTGATGATGTTCAAGGTCTCAATAGACATGACAGATTCAAGAAGTGGTTTGCCATTTAATTATTTAATTTAAAGCTTTAGATATAGAAGGGGGAAAGTGTCAGCCTAGTGGTTAGAACATTCCGCCTGGAATCCAGAGGATCTCAGTTTAAGCCCCACTCCCACAGACTGCCACTCTGGGTCCCTGAGCAAATCCCTTAACCCCACACTGCTCCCCGGGCGCTGCACAATGGCAGCCCACTGCTCCTCAAGGGAATGGGTTAAATGCAGATAGTGAATTTCGTTGCTCTGTACTTGTGACAATTGAAAAACAATAAAAGCTGGGGGGAAAAAAAGAAACTCCCCAAATTATCAAAAGTTTACATTTAATGTCCACTTGAGGGCACCATAGAGCAATTGAGGCTCCTCGATGCCTCAGGTCATGATGGATCATTTGGTTGTAAAGCCTCAGTCCTTCAACTCACCTTCTCTACTTGGTCACTCATTACTTAATATGATAGATATGCAACCCTGCATATGTTTAAAAGAATTAAACAAAATAAATATCAGCTTTTGTAGTAATGAAGCATTGGTATTCTTTCTGGGTTTTCACAGGTAGTTTCAGAGGTTTTGTTCCCGACGGGGCCTCAGAAGACTCCCCTTTCTTCAGTTTCTCCTCCAAAGGTCATCTCAGCTTCAGATTCCCCCGTTCCTTTGTCCGTCACAGACAACTCGCTAGCTGTCATTTCACAGCTGCTACAAGAGGCTGAAGGTGAGCTCATGGTTTCATTATAGAGAGACAACAGCTGTGATATATTTTTACTCCATCTATTTCCAGCTGTGACTGTTTACAAGTAATGGGCAATTTCTCTTCCTCTGGGTTGTTATTTTGCATCAGACTCTGATGGAAAAGACTTTGAAGACGACCCTCTGTTACAAGTCCTCCGACGACAGAGAAAATGGGTGAAAGATCAGATCGGGTAATTCTAAACGACTTATTCAAGTCTCATTCAAATGACATACAAATGTATGATATCATAATAATTTGAATCTTTCTTCTGTTAGAGAGGTGGACGTGATGTTGCAGGAATTCCTGGAGGAACAACCAGCTGCTTGAACAAATCAGACTGTTGCTTTTTGTAGTTTTATATCGAAATAAAGTTTATTTATACTATAGGATTTCAACTGTTTGGAATATTTCGATGTGCATTGATCACAATCACAATATAGTGCATTTACAAAAGTTGCTCAGAAGCCTAGCAGCTTTAACAGGAGGTTAGGGATATTTACAAAGAGTGGTTCCTTGAAATTCCATGTACAATTGATGAGCAACACCAGAGGAGTTCTGTATATACAAACCACAAAGTGCAGGGAATATCAGAGCAGTGCCAAAAACGGAACAAAACAAACGGGTGTTTCGGCACGCTGTGTGCTGTTAGGAGTACAGAGAGGATTTTAATCTGTATCCGTGTGTTTATGAGGGCTGCTGATCTTTGGATTTTCTTGCATGTTGAAGGTAGCAGAGAGGTCTATATTATGTCAGGCACCTGGTGTCTTCGCTCTGCAGCATCGGCGCTGAAATGATAAGAACGCCTTCAGGGGAGACTGCTGACTCCAGCGCCATGATGTTCACTCCCTTCGGGATTCTGTAGCGGCGGTTGAATTGCAGTGTTGTAAAGCCTTGGCCCTCCTACCCAGAGACAGGTACAGGTTTAGAAGATGAATCAATGTGGTTCTGTTCAGTAATTTAAATCAGGCTTCAGTAGGAAAAAAAACATGGAAAAAAAATAAAAATATTTTAAAGGTCTGGAAGGTATGCAGAATGTGAGCATGGAGAGCATGAGGATGTTGGTAAAAGCTTCATGCTTCCTTCTGTCCTTTTCTAGATTTATCTCCTTGCGGCCTTAATTCTTAACCACTTTACTCCTGTTCTTCCTTATGTCCTACTTCCCTTCATTCTCCCTTCTCTTCCAAATATCTTTCCTTTCTTATGTCCTTTTCTGTCCTCCCTTTTCTCCCTCCTTCCTTCCATCCTTCTGTCCTGTCTTGTCATTCATACTTTATCCCCTTCCTTCAATCATTCCTTCTATCCTTCCAAAACAAAGTTTCCACCAACAGAGATGTCTGCATAGCTTAGATTATAAGACTGCTCACCCTTACAAGTTGGATGAGAATATGCAGAAAATATTAGAAAACCCTGTCCTATTTCATAACAGAAGGATTTGGGAAACATTTTCTTTATTGTAATCACCTAACTCACACAATCAAAATGACACACTGAGAACATTTATTTTTCTTTAAACAAACCTTCAATTCTTTGTGTTTTCCTTGCACTTCCAAAAAGTCCCCCACAACTTTGACCAGCAGGTCCTCTGGGTTGAAATTCTTTACATCAACTTGAACTGTAAACCCAATGTCATCGCAGTAAACCTGTCGACACAAGTAGACATAATGTTGTAGAGCTTTTCAAACAAAATTGTTTCATTTGATAATAAGATGTTAAATTTTTGGAAGGCTTGACTGAATCAGTGTTCCTCTGAAAAGAATCAAACGTTAGGTTTGATTTAAAGAAGCTTAGCAGCAGATAATATAAATCTTAATAAGCTTTTATGCTTTTCTGAAAATCCTTTAAAATGTTTGGTTCTATTTAACTTAAGATTAAATGAAAGACCTACCTCTGCAGAACTGACATTATCAGCCTCTGGAACCAGTAATGATGGAGACCATTTATAATAACCATGAGACCCGTTCAGCCGAGGGGGTAGAACCCGCTCCCATGGAATACCACCAGTTGTTCTGGAGGGAGGCACGATAAAATCCATTTCTAGAATTTAAAAAAACTCAAATGTATCTGAAGAGTTCAGGGGAGTGTGATGAATGCTCAGAGACTAGCACCTTCCCTTGGTTTATAAATTCTCTGACCAAATAAGTGAGCAATAAGAGAAAGGCCAGCCCCTGTTGCTATGTTCCCGTGAGTCCCGAGTAGGAATGATCTGTCCAGTTTCTGCTCCCCCTCTGTGTGCTTAACTTGACTGTCAGTCTTTTTTATACTGGAGTTACATAAGGAGTTGGGAATTCATACTGGGGGACCTTGCCTCAGTCACATTCCACACGATGTACCCTTGGGTGTCCAGGCACGGCCACCCACAGAGACGAGTGTGTTTTGGGAATGACACAGCTGTTGCTGGCTTATTGTCAATGAGTGGTTGCCTTTAGTCTTTAGTGTTTTTATTGGGTTGATGACATGGATATAAACTTGTTTCATGTGTACTTATCAGAGCTGCTGTGGGTTAAGTTGGTTGTTGAGGAAGATCTTTCTAAAAATAAGTTCAAAAGAAGAGTGGATCCTAAACACATGTAGAAACACGTGCTCTGTGTCTAACACATCAAGTGTTATTTAACAGGATGGGAAACATTTAATTAGGGAAATAAATTTAAGGAAAAGAAAAAAGTAATACATTTAGTGACATTAAATGAAATGCTAAATTGGAATACTCCCTAAATTCTACAGCACTGGGTTGGCTTCCTGAAACATGGGAAGCACTGCATGTTCTGAACTCAGTTCTCCACACACATAGCCGATATGTGCACATGTTCTCTCTGGTAATAATGCTAAACATGGCGCCTAAGCTTCAACTGTGACTATAAGTGGCCATGATTATGACTCATAGAGAATGAGAGGCAATAGGGGACATTTGGAGGGATTAAGTTTGTGGGGTTTTATAATAGACACAATCTTGGCTTATAGACAACATAAAGGTAGGCAATTGTTTGGAACGCAAAAGATTAAATCTCAGTTATTAGGAGAAAGAACTGTGTTTATCGTAACATTAAAGGTTGAATGAATCATTTTATTTAGTATATGACAAACTCTAATAGAGTCTCCTAAATATAATTTTTAGTCATACTGATAACTGGCAAACTAGAATCCAGTTGTGGAAATGGGCTTTTATATGTGAGACTAGAAAAAACATGTTAAAATGTAAACACTCAAGACACATTGTAGCTTAAATGTATTTATTGGTCAAGAAAGAGTAAAAATCAGCTTGGGTGAACATTCAAAATCAAATTAGGAATCATTTTAAGAAAAAAAAAAGGCGTTTTATTTTTTTTTTTTATTATATATAAACAAAATGCACACCTTTAACACTTTGTTAGCTCATACTGAAATCAAAGAATACGAAGAACCTATTAAAAAACAGACATTTCAGAGTGCTACAGTATCTATATTTTAAAGGTGATAAATCTCACAAGGACCAAAATCTTCCACTTTGATAAAGAGAAAACTCTTTGACTCGTCATAGTCGGCTGACGGACATCTCAAGGTGTGCCCAGTGGAATCGTGAATGAAAGGCGATCGCCAACCTCCCCCCACTGGGATCTGTAGTGTTGGTAAATCGTGATCCATGTTGTCAATACTGCGACCCAAAACGACAAACCCAGCGCTGAACGTTTCACATCTAGAAGAGAAAACACATAAAGATGAGGTATTTTAATTAAAAATTCTAATTTGTAAAATTGCATTTAGGTCCAAATACAAAACATATTCTCCTTTATAATTTAGAATAAAACCCTTTGGTTTAAAGCATTAGCAGATTCTTCAAAGTGCTGCTGCTTGAAATCCATTTCTTTATCATTAATACTTTACCTTTTTTAAAGGGTGACATTGAGGATAATACATTTGTCATTAACACAGACAGCCAGTGTTTATGTAAAGTTAATTTAGAGAAATTTGAATTCAATGCTAGGTTATAACGTATGAACCACTATTTAAAAATGGTGTATGATTTTACCAGTTAATCTGAGGCTGACTTAATTGGTGATTATTATGGAATAAAACCAACTATAAAATATTTAAACAGTTTAAGGCTATCAAATACTGATAAAAAAAAAAAATCTTTTGACTTGAGAGCCAAAGCCTGCGGAAGAAGATTAGGGCCACTGAAAAAAAAAAATTTTTTTACTGAATTTTAAATGTTATTTCAGTATTAGAAAAAAGTTGGAAGTCTGAATTTAACCTCAGAATTCTGACTTTAATCTGAGATTTTTTTTATTGTATTTCAGTATAATATGAGAAAAAAGTCAGAATTCTGACTTCAATCTGAGATATTAAGTTTTATTTTAGTACAATATGAGAAAAAAGTCAGAATCCTGACTTTAATCTCAGAATTCTGACTTTAAAGTCTGAATGAATTCTCAGATTTCTGAGATTGAAGTCAGAATTCTGAGGAAAAAAAGTCAGAATTCTTAGAAAAAAGTCAGAATTCTGACTTTTTTTCCCCATATTAAACTGAAATAATATTTAAAAATCTAAACTTTTTTTTCTTTTCTCAGTGGCCCTAATCGTCTTCCGTAAAAGTTTTATAACGTCTTTACAAGGTTATTAATCGATCAAAAAATACATATCCTTGGCCTAATTAAAGAAACAAAAATTCTATCACTGTTGTTAATCAGTCAAACCTTAATCTGCAGAATAAAATAATTGATCATCACAGATCATCTCTGATCTCCTGGTGATCACATTTCAGGGAAACATTTGTTGACATTTTCTTAAATTAGGTATGCTTTAAGGCACTATAGTAATCTAAAATAAAGTAGCTACCCAAGATCATTTCCTGTTTTTAACATTTAACCGTTTTAACATGCTGCTATTTTTACCATTTTAGTCACATATCAGTTTATACACTTACATGTTTTAATTAAGGTCTGTTCAGTGAAGGGTGGCTTAACAAAAGCTTCCTTAAAAAACCAAACAACGTTTACAAGCCACAGGAAAGGAAGAAGAGCAAAACCACCTGCAAACAAACAGAAAACATAAACACTTTAAGCCAGAGCAACTATAGTCATAAATATTCTTCGTGGACTTAACATCTCATCCTTTCTCTCCGTTTCCATATTAGGAGAGCAAAATGGAAGTTACTGCAAGGGACGGTGTCTGAAGTGATTTAATTTCTTTCCTACCCAAGTAATATTTTCTACATAGGCTGAGCTTCTCCTCGTTGGGAAGTCTTTCCAGGTTCATGGTAAATTAAAAGTGGCTCTGTTGAAGGAAGAAATAAAGTTCCAGTTAGATTTTTAATGGTCGATCATCTTTTAAATAAATAAAGCTCGAGGAAAACATTAATACGTTGGCTACTTTCAATCGATGATTTAGCGAAAAAAACAGCTGTACGAGAGAGTAAACATAATAAAAATACCAAAGAACGTTCGTAAAAAGCTTTAATCGTCGGTTAAAATAGCTTGAAATAGCTTCAGGCAACGTTAGCATGATGTAGCTATTGCTAAACTTGCTGCTACAAAAACTACGTTATCCGAGTTCTGGGCAGTTTGTTTGAAGTTATATTAAATATGTATAAGAATGTTTTGCATTTATGTTTCATACCTACGGTGTTTCAGACTGACTCGAAAAAGGGAAACAAGAAAATAGAAGAACACTTCCTGGTCCGCCCCTCTTCTTCGTCTTTTTCCTTATTACCTTTCCCTGTGCCAAGCAGACAGAAGACGTCACAATAAATACTGCCACCTAGTGTACAGTTGAAAGAGGCACATGAGGGAGGTCACAGACAGACAGATTGATAGATAACACATGAGACAAGGCTTTTGAAAGAAATGTACAAATAAAAGCATAAACCGTCATAAAATTAGGATCTTTTTCTTTTTTAAACGTTTTGTTTTGAGTACTCTCTGTAAAAAAGCTGATCCATCCTGCATACCCTCTGGATTACAAATCCTGAATACTATCCACTAAATGTGTGACACTCAATGTACTTTAAAGAAAACAACCGTACAAAACTATAAATCCACGATTTATGTAAATTTGTAAAATAATGTCTTGATATGGTTCACATTTAATTTAATATGGAAGAGGATTAGAGCCACTGAAAAAAGTTAACTGATTTTCAAAATTTATTTCAGTATAATATGAGAATAAAGTCAGAATTCTGATTTTTTTTTTTCTCTTAGAATTCTGGATCTTAATGCAGATGGGCACCATGAAGAAAGAGATGTGGGAGCACTCAGCTTCACTGACAGTTATGTGAGTTGTTTGAGAGGAACAGTAACACATTGGTGGAAATGACGGAATTAGGCGACTTTTTACTTTCCAGAGGGGTCCCCGGTGAGGCTATTTCATTAATGGAAGAGCAGAAATTGATTAAACAAGAAGCTAGTTTAGTCTCTAAAACAGACAGAGCTATGACTTGATGTTAACATGTTTGTTAGCTGTCAGAATTTAGAGTAGAAATTCAGAATTCTGAGAAAAAAAGTCAGAATGATGAGAAAAAAGTCAGAATTCTGAAATTAAAGTCAGAATTATAAGAAAAAAAAGTCAGAATTCTGAAACTAAAGTCAGAATTCTGATTTAAAAAAAGTCAGAATTCTGAGATTAAGGTCAGAATTCTGAGAAAAAAGTCAGAATTATCAGAAAAAACTCAGAATTATCAGAAAAAAAATCTGAATTCTGAAATAAAATAAGAATTCTGCGATTAAAGTCGGAATTCTGACTTTTTTTCTGCTATTATACTGAAATTAAATTTAAAAATCAGTTAACTTTTATTTATTTATACTGTATTTTAACAAGCTCTAGTTAAACTACTAATGTATCATGCCGCCATCAGTTTTAATCTATTCTGTTTTATTGCTCCCATTATTATCTTTATCAAAAAACTTTTTTCATCTACAAATAAAGTTGAATCCATATATCTCAAATCTGTTGGAAATGTTAAAATTCTTCCCTTTTACGTGTTTTACTCCATTGCTTTATTATTGAGTATGACTCTCTCCTGAGTGACAAAAAACTCAGTTTCCCATGAGACACTACGGCTCCCCCCTCCCATCTCGCGCCTTCCCTCTTGTCTCCCCCTCAAACTGCTAGCCGTCGGTGTGTGTTGTTGTTCAAGCAATGATGGCGGCGGCAGCGGGATGCGGATCGGCAACCGCGGCTGCCGTAGGAGGCCAAGGTGGAAACGCTACGGCCAGAGGTCGTTTCCCCGGTCGGCCTTGGTCATCGCGGAGTCGTTTGCGCTCCGAGAAGCGATGGCAACTCGGGCGTTCGAGCTCAGAAGCTGATGATGTGACTAACGGAGGGCCAAGGCCCGCAAACCTGGCTCTTTCGTTAAACGAAGACCAGTCTCACTTGCGCCTACTCGGGATAGAGGCAAGCCACAAGATCCTCGGCCAAGCTGGATACAGCTCTAGTGGAAGTGAAGAGGTAAGATCCTCATCGCGGAAGTGAGCGATTTATTCAAACTGGACGCATTCACAGTGATCGCATAATGCGCAAGAATGAGTGCTCTCCACGGCTGTATGACTGGTTAGTGCCATGGAGAAATGTCAACATCCCATTGGCAGGCTAGCTAACTTTAGCTTCAAGCTAATCGGTACATGTTAACCAGCGCTAGCCTACTTTAGCTTTCCATTAGAACACCCCGAGCACAAAATGTTACTAACTCAGACAGCAGACCCCTTTAAAGTCACCATTTAAAGTCAGTCTCACTTCTTCTCTACGGAATAAGAAAATACACGCGAAACATGGATAACATTTACATTTCAATAGTTGTACAGTGAGCTTTTGTAAACATGCGCCGCAGTTATTTTACGTATGGCCCTCTCTGTACAGGGCCTTGCTAATAGCCAACACAAAGAGCAGGAAGGCTAGCGCCTCTGCAGAGACTACATGCTAACTATTTTTGCCTAATGCTCCGCTAAAGTGTGTTTTAACTAGACACGTCTTGTGGTTGGCAAAGTATAAAGTTCATATAAAAATTTTTTGATAACATTTATAATAGGGGCCATAAAGGTTGTTAACTGTCAGAGGGGGAATAAATCGTTTCTGGCTAGCTGTTAGCCTAGCAAACAGGGCATGTTTAAATGGAGCGATAGAAGTGTGCCAAAGTCACTGCTGTACGTTTTGTTAAACTGAGAAGCAAACAGCAGCATTGTGTAGTAGATCTTCTATAAAGCTCAGCTGTAATATAACAAAAAAGGGTATGTGTAGAGGGAGCTGTAGATTACATACTGTTTTATGTAGTTTTTTTTTAAATAAAATACTGTAGGCGTGACCATCATTAACTAAAACGTGTTTTTTTTTTTTACTTGGTAGTTACTCATTATGTGGTTTAAGGGATAGTTTGTGAGCTTGATTTGATAGTTTGACGTGCTTTGGAAAGTTGGAGTTGATATGCAGAATGATGTAGTTAACAGAAAAGAAGTTGCCAGTGATAGAAAGTCACAGCTGCAGTGAGATCCTGATATCTGCCATGCTTGTCAGTTTTGCCATTCAAACACACTTTTTCTTGGAACACTTTTTTTGTTTCCAGAACTTCAACTGTAAAGTAATGCTCTTATTTCTTAGAACTTTATATTAATATTCAGCCATATTATCAATAAAGTAACTATTCAGCTGCATGCATATTGACCTAATCATACTCCTGTAACCCCTAAAGGTTATAGACCCAAGTGTGCTCAGATGTCGCTGAATAAAAAATCTCTTTTGCTGCACTATTTGTTTTCCCCTTGTGTCTCACAGATTACACCTGCGTACTGTTTGCAATACTAACAGCACTGTCTGTCTGTCCATGCGTGCAACAGTATTCACTGAATCAGAGAAAATGGTTCTGCAGGTGCAAAAATTCAGAAATATTTTAATGCAACTCGTATTTTGCAGGTGTGTCTTGACAGTATAATAATAATCCTTTTTTTTTTTTTTTTACTTTAGTTTACCCAAAAAAGGCTTTGCTGCTAAACATACACATCAAGTGTGTACATTAACAGTGTTTAGTGTCCATCCAGTTGCAGAAATGGGTAGTGTTACAGCCTGACACAAGTCCTTTACATTTGTGATTATGAACAAGACTATATTTTGATCATGATTCCAGTTCAAATGCATGGATGTAGGATATAGAAAACACTGCAAGATTATTCTAAGTACTGCTGAACAGAACAGGGAAAGACTATAAACGTTTTTAACAAGATGTTGGTGTTTAGAATCATGAAGGAATTCTTTTAAGTTTGGCAGTTAAAAGTTTTCTATCTAAAACCCCCATCTCATTGCATCAAATACTTTTCTGCAGGATTCGCTTCTCCTGGATAAGCATCTCGTGCCAGGGTTCATTCGCTTGCGTTCTGTCATTGACTATTATATCAATTTCTCATACTAAAGATGCATGCAGAGACAGTGGAGAGGAAAAAAAGGGGTTTTTTTACCAGGAAGAATCCTCCAGCAGAACTGACCTCAGTTTGAGCATTCTTCTGCCAAGCCTGACTGGGGGTTCAAGCAGACACACTAAGCGAACATAGAAGCACTGAACCATAAACACTTTCTTTTTTAGAGAATCTAAAGACAAACCATATCCATAGATAGGGTCTTTATTTGTAAGACGAGGTTAAGCAGAAGAGCTATGGATCAGTTTTCATGTATAGATTAATGGACATCCACATGCAGTTTGTCTAAATAAATACTGAGCCCATAGTTATGTATAAGAGAGAAACTGGACCGAACACTGAAAAACAGAGTCAGCTGTATCGTTTAAATGAAGGCGTTGAAGGCATCAGCCCAGCCAATCACTCCATCTTGGCTGGAATAACTGGATTGTTCTCATTCGGATGAGCATTGTTCTGATTTGAGTTTCTTTAACTCAGATAATTTCTTTAAATAATCTGCTTCTGGTTTGTGTGCTGCAGGATTACTGAATGGATGCATTTAAGAAACTGTATATATATATATATATACTTGGATTCTTCAGTATTGTAATCTGGATTTTATTTCCCTGACTTTTGTTTCGATGAGTGTTAACCACTATTTTAGACCGTTATTTAGACAGAGAAACCACGGTTTGGCAAACTACGGTTTGCTCTCACACTTATTGTGTTGTTGTATTGATTATGTCTACATTATGCTTTCCAGTAATCTGACCTCTGGCGTGAAGAGGCAGAGTAAATGTCAGCGATCCTGTAGGAAAATACTCTGAGTGCTGGTGAAAATGCTGCTGCCAATGAGCATATCTGTAGCTTTAGTTGTTGGTCTCGGTTTAAATGTTGCCTGTGCAGCATTATTAACCATATATAGACAATTAATATTTTTCTTTTCTTTATATAAAGGGTGATGACTTCAAAGGATTTGAAGCTGACAAAAGAGGTTCTGCCGAATCTGCAATGCTGCAAAAAAATTCTTCCAAAGGTAAAAAGCTCATAACATGCTTATTAATATAGGAACATGGCTTACGTTGAAGATCAGACGGCTTCCTATTTAAATTGGATGTTACATTTTCTTTTCCTTTTGTAGGAGACACTGTCAGCACAAAATCTAGGAGAAAAAGTGAGAAGCCGCCACAAAAAGTGCCAGCGATTGATGAGGCTATCCCGCCTGACCCTGTAAAAGAAGAGAAAGCTGCGGAGGAAACACAGGACATATCTCTAGAAACAAAACCGGCGAGGGATTCAAAGAAGCCGTCAAAAGGAAAAAACACTATGGACCAGGGGTCAGCTAAAGGCAGAGCATCGGCTACAGCCCCAAGGATTACTATTAAGTTGGTGGCCAAAAAGAAGGTGAAAACTTTAAAAGAGCCTCAGAAAAAAGCGGATAGAAAGTTAAAACTGAAAGAAGCGCAGGACCAGCCCGATGTTGAGGACAATCAGGCTGATCAGATTTTAAGTGCTCATATCAAGTTGAAAACAGAGTCGTTCAGCGATGAACTCAGCCCCGGGGAGAAAGCAGCAGCTACCGTACCTATGAGGAGGCGTGGGAGATCTGCTGTAAAGGTAGCAGAGCCTTTAAGCCAGACTACTGCCAAAGTTGTGGTTGGTGACCAAAAATCTAAAGAGAAGCAACCGACCAACATGGATAAGGAAAGCGGTTCTGCGAAGCAAAAACTGAACGCGAAGGATGTAAAGAAAAAGAGAGCTGCCCTGCCTCGGCGTTCTGGGGTTAGACTTGTTACCCGTAGAAGTGCGAGAGTTTCTACCCCCCTCTCTAAAAACACAACAGACGCTGTTTCTGAAACAGAAAGTCTGAGTAAACCTGCAACTGTTCAGCCCGAATCCAAGACCGAAATCTCACAAAAAGCTCAAGCCAAACCAACAGTGCATAGAGAAGGAAGACGGCAAAGCAGAAGATTAAATAAAGATATTACAGTACCAGAAAATCAGGGCTCATTATCCACAGAACCGGACAATTTATCTGCACATGCCGGTGAAAGTGTGCCCATTAAAATCGAGGAAATGAGAGTCCCCAGCATAAAGTTAATAAAGATCAGAAACCCTAAATATGATGCACAAGCCAGTGGGAAGACTTTGTCTCGTAAGAAAAAACGGAAAAAATATATTTGGACTTTAGCATTGGTCAAATTAGGAAGTCCAACTGTGAGGGCAGAAGATAGCCTTAAGGTACCAACAGAGGCTGTTAGCAAAGAGGACCAGGCACCTCTTTGTGACACCAATGTTAAGAAAACCCCAAAGAGAAAGGGTAGAAAATCCAAAAAGGAAAGCACGGTTCCGCTTGAAAGCCAGAACAATGTTGAAAAGGATCCACAAAGCATGGCTGACTCTGAAACATCAAGTTTAAATGTGCAAGCTGAAGCAGATCCTACGCCTGAAACTCCCACGCAAGACACCTCCAAAGCAGATTGCGGGAAGGTACCACCTCTTCAGATTAAAAAAGTCTCTTCTCCCGGCAAACATAAAAGCTCTAAGCCGTCTTTTCTCATTCAGCAGGTTAGCCCTATACCTGAAAAGAAGGAGGAAAATATGAAGGATTTGCCAGAAGCTCAAGAGGAGATGTCTTCTTTACAGGATACTGAGGGCAGTCCGGTTAGGAGGCTAAGAAGGAGGGCATCAAGTCTTGAGTCACCGCAGAAGAAATGTGTCAGCCAGAAACCTTCAACCGTTCAGAAACGAAGGTTAAGGAAAAGTCCTCAAGAGAAAGAAATGCCACAGGTGAAAGCCGAAGTTTCTTCTCAGGTTTCCTCTGAAGAGTCCGCCCCTCAAATTCTTACAACAACCTCATGTCCTAATTTGGCCGAAGATCCCCCAGTGGCTACCAGTTTAAACCCCCCTGATATTCTAGAAAAGGAAACACCAAAAGTCCCAGATAGTCCACCACAAATGCAGGCTGAAGTTTCTCCACAGACACTGGAGAACAAGCCAGAGCCGCAGATTGAAGAGGCTCAGCCATTACCAGTGCCTTCCAAACCTAAAAAGCCCAGAACAAATAAGCAAGGCAAGAAAAAGAAGATGGGTCGAAAGCCGAAGGCTTTGGTTTTACCTGATGCCACCGTAGAGACGGCCCCCGACGCTGTTGAGGTTAACACGGAGCCCGCTCAGTTGGAAAAGTTTCAGCCTTTAGTCGAAGAGGTGAGTCAGCCGGAGGGAGAGGAGAGAACAGAACCAGAGTCGGAGACCAAACAGGACTCCGTGTCAGTAGAAGTCCAAGAACAACCGGTACGCCCAACAGTAAAAGAAGAACCGGATATGCAGTCTATAGACAGTAAGCATTTGGAAGACGGGCAGCGGTTGGAAGACGGGCAGCGGTCGGAAGAAGGGCAGCATTTGGAAGACGGGCAGCGGTTGGAAGACGGGCAGCGGTCGGAAGAAGGGCAGCATTTGGAAGACGGGCAACAGCTGAACAGCCAGGAGATGGACAGTCAGCAGTCAGTGGTGTCTAAAAGTCAAACATTTGCTCAAACTATATCTAAGAAACCTTACAAAAAGCTAAAAAAGAAACGTAAAAACCTAATTGGTCAGCATCAAAAGCACAAGCACAGAGGCAGGGATGGGAAATTTGCTCCACTTACATCTCATGAAAGTCAAAGTTCCTTTGAGGCTAATGATGACAGTTCTCTGCTTCTGACAGGCCCCACTCCTCCCCACAGTGCGACGCTCATCGGAGTACAGAAAAAATACAAAAAGAAGCACACAGGCCTGCATTTTGTTGGAGCTAAAAAGTCAAAATCTCGGTCTAAAATCATTTCCAGCCTGATTGATATGGGAATGGAAAAGGGTAGTTTAAAGCAAGAAGAAGCCGACACTCCAGTGGACACTGAACAGCATGATGTTGTGAATGCCCAGCCTTGCAAGTCAAAGTTTGTCAAAAACATCAAGCACTTTATCATGCCTGTGGTAAGTGCAAGGTCCTCCCGAGTGATCAAGACTCCACAGAGGTTCATGGATGACATTGGCATGTCTGTGTTGCCTCGAAGGCACTCTCCAAAGAAGGGTTTACAGCTGGGCTTGAACATTCGTCCAGGGAAGAGACGAGAGGATGGGCCTGAAAGGCCACTGTCTCCCATCTTTCCTATTGACGAGGACATTTTGAGCGAAGCTCAGCTGGATGTTGATCTGTTTTCAGCTCAGGACCTGGAGGACAGCATTGATTTAGCTGACAGCCTGTTTTTTGACTGTAAAAGTGAGAAAAACGAAAAGAAGTCTCCTCTAAAGAACGCTAGCTTCAAGTGGAATCTTCCTGAAGATCCCTGCGAGGAGTTATTTACACTGGATAAAAGCGCAGAGAGCAAATGTGAGGATCTGTTTTTATCTACCACAGCAGATAAGCTCCCAGAACTGTCTTCAGACCTCACAGAGGTTCTGAAAAAGAAGAGTCCGCCCAAATTTAACAAGCAGGCAGCTCACCTGAACATTTACCAGAGACTTAAAAAGCCTGTCTTAGGACTTCCAAAAAGCAAAATCACACAAGAGCTGGAACCTACGTGCAAACCCACTTTGCCTCCAGTTGATTTAGCAGAGGGACTCGACGATGAGGTCATGAGCATCAGTCTGAGACAGCGGGACACAAACGTAGAAAAGGAAAAGTCCAAGATAAAGATCGAAGACCTGGACAGTCCAGGGGTGGTTCGAAAGGTTTCTGTCTGTGTTCGGACTCCTCATTCCTACGCCGCTGCTTTGAAGCAATGTGAAGAGGAAGCATCAGCAGTAAAAGACTCAGCCTTAAGTGACTCAGGTAAGACAGCAAAAATTATCAGAAATGATGCTTATCAATGGTGAAAACAAAGGTGCTTCATGAGCAGGCGTTTTTTTTGTTGTTTTTAAAGGAGGGCTGTCGGTACAGAAATCACACGCAGCTGAAGGCGTTCCTCCTGGGCATACGGAGAGGGGAGCGCCACAAAGGCCACGCCTCACTAGTGCAAATAAACGGATGTTGAATCTCCTCAGGAAAGCAAAGGTTCAACTCATTAAAATTGACCAGCAGAAACAGCTAAAGTCATCTGGGGTGAGTTGAAAACTTAAGATTTTTTTTATTCAGAAATAGCTTTCTGATCTTGGTTGAGATGCTTTTTAGCAGCATCTCAACCAAAGGTAACAATACTTACTTAGACAAACTATATAGTCATCTTGTATACAGAGGGTGTGTACAAAATGAAATTTCATTTTGTACAGCTCTCATGACATTTCCATTTCTTAAAGTGCTGCAGTGATCAAATGTAAACGTTGGAGAATAAAAACATGGTGGAAAAAAAACACATTAATATGGTCATTGATATTGTCAGGAATATTGTCAAGATGATGATTTATTCCAGTAATTCAACTCAAAAGGGAAACTTGTTTAGATTCATTAAGTACCGTGATGCATTTTAAACTTTAATTTTCATGACATTTATTTATTAGTGTCAAATTAATAATGTGTCCGACCCTCTTTGACCTAAAGCTAGTCGCAGCTGACACCTACCTTGTCTCCTCTAGAGATTCCACACACTAGCTGGGAATAGCTATCCCAATAAGGCTTACTACAGTAGATGGGATTTAAAATGGAAAATAAGAAACACATTAAAACATGAACCTACACTACTGACTCCAAGGATTAAGAAGAGATGGATAAATCAAGGGGGATTAAGGATCTAGTTTAGAACAGAGACAGAAGCTCCGTCCCCTTTTTCTTTTAGGGAACAACAGTTTTTTTTTCCAAAGCCTTAAGACTATCTCAGTGGTATCTTAGAAGGGAGTTACATGAAATAACCGTAAAACATCAAACCGGATCTCTGGGAGACAGTTAACCTGTGGTTCTGCTGAGGTGTGATGGAAGACCATGTAGCTTCTCTTATCGACTTTCAGGTCATAAGCATGTTGCAAATTTTAGGCAAACCTTTGAAATGTCAATTAAAGAAAATGCAAATTTTCATCTAGTGGAGCGGATTAACCAAGCAATGCAAATGTCATGTATCGACGTTAACCTCGGTGGTAATAAACAGGAAATAGAATCAGAATTCCAGCTCTGACCGCAGATCAGCGATAGACAGAGGTTTTAAACAAATGTAACTATCTTGTTAGCTAGTACTAGTGATGGTATATATCAGCCAGAGTTGTCAAGAGAGAAATCCGTTTTTATCACTTGCATTCAGAGACGCCAGCAGCAGGAACAGCTGATCAGTCAGTCATGTGAGCTAAATGTTTGCTATGTCAGAACGACTTATTCGACTAGTTTGTTTCAATTTCCTATTTAGTGCATTTGCTCTTTTTCAAAAAGACGTTAAACCTTTTTTGCATAATGTAGGCTAATGTAGGCAAGACTTTAATCTTGATCTGATCTTACTGGTCAGTAAAAAAATGTTGATGTTTGAGGCGAGCAGATTTGTGATACCACAGTCATAGAAGCATATATCAGTACTTCGGGCAGTTCAGAAGGAAACCAAGTCCTGCTAAAAAATAACAGCCTCCCAAAAGTGGGAAACATCGAGTGCTTTTAAGTGATTTGTTATACCTTTGGAATCAAGTAAACAAAGTGTACCAAAGCTCCTTTACTTTATCAATGACTGAGACTATGGCTAGTATTAACACTGCAGCCTGAAGTGACCCAAATCCGATGTTTTGGCCCATATGCGACCTGAATATGATCTTTTCATGGCAGTCTGAGCAACAGAGATCTGATTTTTTTCCAATGCGACCCAGGACACTTGGCTGTGTGGTCCTAAATCCGATATAAATCTGATCTTTTCAAATGCGACCTGCGTCTGAACAGCCAGGTCGCGTTCATCTGACCTGAACGCCATTAATAATCCACAAAGGTCACTATTCTGGGTCTTGCTATGAAGAAGCGGCAAGAAAAACAAACACCATGGCGGACAATACAGAGAGCAGTATTTATGTTTAACGATCTTAAAAAGATTGTGTTTTTATGTTTGTGGAAGTTCGCTAGATGCGCTCCGGCACTACCATCCATGTTTACTTCCGTAAACATAGAGCACGCTGGCCTGTGACATCATCGCGTCCTCTACTGCGCATGCAGGACACTTGCGTTGTATGACTGTAGTTTACACAGGAGATCACATAGAAGTCGCATATATTTTGAAATGAGAACGGCAACGCAAAAGGAAACAGATTTCACAAAAATATCGGAATTGAGCGTCAAGGCCGATACGTTTTTATGTTTATCCTCCTTGTGGGCTGTCACTGACTTTCTACTGAACATCTGTTTTCAAAGCTGAGCTGTCAGAAACCCCGTGTGTTAAGGCCATAAAAGCATATAACTTTTATTGCTCATTGTTGATCTGAGGATCTGTGAAACAATTTTAGCTTAAACCATTAGCCCCCTATCAAAATTGGCAGTTTTTAAACTGTGTTTGTAGGATTTGAATTGGTTCATTTCAGAGCTTTCTAGATTATTTCAGTTTAATCTAGTCATACCATAAAGCACAGTTACTTAATATTTTCTATATTCTCTGTATAAGCTCCTGTCATGGAGGAACCTCATATCCATGATGAAATCCAGTAAAGAAGTGTTTTTTTTCCTTCGCTTGAAGTGACGCCTGCCTGTTTGTTTACCTTGTAGCTGTTATCTGGCACCGCTGCTTCCCGATCCCAAGATATTGCCTCAAAAAGACATAGGAGGAAGCAGAGGGCGCAGGTTCCTCGTCCTCAGGTTCCTGTCAAGACAGAGCCACTTCAAGGACAAGTGAGTCCTTACGTCAATACACCGACATGGGAAGAGCATTGATCCGTCTTTAAAGCTTCTAGTGTGTTTTTCTTCTAACGCTGTTGGTTCTCCCCACAGCCACAGCTCATCTCTCCACTGTGCCAGGAGTTCCGGCGAGCAGGCGGCCCACGTATCAAGCATGTGTGTCGCGCCGCCTCCGTCGTCCTGGGCCAGCCCCGAGCCATGGTACCTGATGACATTCCCCGACTGAGTGCCTTGCCGCTGCATGAAAGATCCGGCATTTCCCCGTCAGCTATCCCTAAAGGTTGTTATACTAATAGTCTGCATTATTTTTTATTTTATTTTTCTATTAGATGCTTTCTTGAATGTTCCTGTGATGAATTGAATCTGGAAGAAAGTTTCTCCTCTTCGTTTTCTCTTTTTTTGAGCCACATAAACTATATAATTAGAATGTCTTTTTTTTTTTTTTTTAAAGGGAGATATTATTTTGATCTGAATTAAGATTAAACTAACATTGTTTGCTGGTTTTCAGAAAGCTGTCGATTCTTACCTCAGACTTTAACCCTGAACAGTGGCTTTTAAAAATAATTGTCAAAGATGAAATAAAACTAAAAAAATATAAATGTTAAAGATATACCAACTCTAGTTATTCTTTCTTTTATTTCCAAAAAAATGTATCAAAACTAACAGAATGACTAATAGCTTTTTCTTTTGTCATTGGGGTACAAACTATTAATTTTTTATCTACCTTTATTTATGGGGAATATTCAGATGAAAATGTAAAAAAATAGAAAATGAAACATTTTAGATTTATTTTATAACCCTATTAATATCTGTGTTGTAGACTATAGGGCTTTAGGCTCAGATGCTATTTGCACAACTAATGAGAAAAGATGTCTCTGTAGATCATGCTCCTTGCTGATCTGTTTGCTCTTGTTGCAGATATTGGGTCTCCATCAGAGTCAGACAGCCCCAGCCTATCGGATCCTAAGGCAACAAAGTCTAAAAAGCCGTCCAACTTTGGGAAGAAGAAAGGCCTCGGGCCGTTCGGATACCGCTCGCGGCGGTGTGGCATCTGCAAGGGCTGCAACCACGAGGAGGATTGTGGGAAGTGCATAAACTGCCTCGACAAGCCGAAGTTTGGTGGCCCTAACACTAAACGACAATGTTGTGTGTAAGTTCAACATAATGAGTACTTGTTGGATTATACAGCAGTGTTCAGAAAAAATAATTATTCTTTTGTCTTTCTTTAATCACAAGGTATAAGAGATGTGATCAGATTGAAGAGAGGAAAGCGCGCAGACTTAGCGGCAGAACAGCTCCCAAAAGTACTTTTTTGCTTTAATTTGCAACTAAATGTGTTCTCTACACTCTAGTGTGTAACGATGCTTATTCAGCTATTTCATTTTGTTTGTCCTCTTTGACAAGGTTCGTCTAAGCGGAGGCGGTCCTCCTTCAGCGGGGGTTGTTCAAGCAATGACGAAGGCAACGAGGGTGGTGGGGACTCGCCATCTGGTCCCAACACAGACGGTCACAGTCCATCAGTAAGGAAGCAGCCAAAGCGCGTTGTGAAGCCACGCGTCTATTTTAACCTGATGGATTACGACTCAGACCTTGACAACAAAGCTTTATCGAGCTCTGCCTCACCAGCAAGAAGGAGGGGTGCTGGACATCGCTTCAACCAAGGTATTGGAAGAGTCAGGAAGCCATGGGCTTATAATACCCTCTAATGGTAGTACAGTAGTAGCCATTCAAACTTTCCCCATTTTTTTTTTATGGGGCCTTGGCTTGTCCTTTAAAATTCCTTTTTAAACATCTATAATATTCCTTCTGTCATGATTTGAGGGCATTAAGATCTAAAGAGAAGCGTTATCTTCTGGTCAGACCCTGTAATTCAGTGAAAGGTTGTAGTCAGAGTAACAAAATATGCACACCCATGAGAAGGCCAGTGGCTGGAAGTTGAAGGGTATTTTGGTGTCATTTGGCTGCCATTCACCTGGCATTTGACTGGGAAAACCATTTTGAGTTGCTGCTACTATAAAAGTTGATTATTGTCTGCTGTCCCAAAGACTTTGTCTCCCTGGACGGGTTCTTTGAAGACTTCTCAGATGATGAAGTCCGACACCGTAAATCCAGTTCACATCGGGTACCACAGAGTCGACGGAAACCTGAGAAGGTGAGTAAAGATGATCCAAACTCTCAGTTAAACTCTGATTGGACTGGATAGCAGTTTTGGAATCTTCATCAAGATAAAAACTAGATAAGCTGTTTTCAAGGCCAAAGTTAATAAATAATCTGAGAACATCCATTTTCTTGAAATGACTCGTCTCAAAAATTCATCGTAAAGGTTTATGTTGTCTTGTTTTAAACCAAAATCACGCTTCTGTAAGTAACTTGAACTCTCCCTCTAGGCTTCCATACATATGTTCTATTCTACGGCTTTGACACACTATTGTTTCAATATCTCTGTCACAATGCTGCCATGCCACCAAAGGGCAAACTTGTGAACACATATTTCGAAATTGTTCATGAACAATCATGCCTTGTAATGTGTCTGCTAACTAGGGCTGCAACAACGAATCGATAAAATCGATAAAAATCGATTTTTAAAAGCGTTGGCAACAAATTTTATCATCGATTAGTTGTGTCGCGCGATTAATGCGTCATCCGCGGCCGCCGTCATCACATCCACTTGACTGAAACGGGGGAAGAAGAAAAAATACGGCAGAGCCAGCCAGCGCCGCTGGTGCAGTGTTGCCAACTCAGCGACTTTTCAGACCCCTCCAGCGACTATTTTTCAAAAAGGCGACTAGCGACAAATCTGGCGACTTTTTACGGTGTCACTGGCGGCTTTTGGAGACTCTTACGTGAAAGCATGCATCGTTCCTACTCTGCCGTGGGGCGCCTCCCCCATCCCAACCCTGTTCTCCCTCTCCCGCAGGAGTCCCTCTCAGCGCTGCAGTCAGAGCCGCAGGATGTTTACCCTCAGCGTCCAGACTGCAAATGAAGCGCGCATGCGCCGGGATTGACGGCGCAAATTGATCACAATAATTAAAATAGCCTGCTCTTTGTAAAGTGGAAAAAGTCGTAACATGCAACTTTTGTCAAAACAAATTAACATGGCACGGAACCACCATGTTTTACTTCGTTTTAAAGGGGAAACGTAACGTTAGTTTCTCAGGTAACTCATCTGATGCTTTCCTTACCGTGTTAGTAGGTTACAGACAGTGATAAGGTTGGCTACTTATTTTACTTTTAATTTCATTTGAATTAGCTTAAGCAGCGTTTATATTTACTTTATAAATAAATTAACTTGCAAATTATGAGGGCAAGGCTTTTAAAGTTTAAATGTTCTGGCAAAGATAAAGTAAAGAAGATCCTGCAATTTATGGAAGTAAAGCAGAATAAAATCCAGCAAGATCAGTAATATGTCAATTAATTATCTGCCACATTCCCATGTAAATATCTGTCTTTGGAGGATGTGTTTTTTAGCACCCCTAGTTCTCTCATTTTTATTCCAAATACAATTTATAATTTGAATCACAGGGCTATTTTTATCTCTATGGTTAAGTATTTTCTCAAGTAGCAACTTTAACTGCTATTCTTTCCTTTCTTAAAAGGCAGAACTCTTCTAGTCTAAAAAAAACTAATTTGTTGAAATGGGGGGGCCTATTGTTTGAACCCCTTAGGGGCTTTTAAAAACAAAAATGTCTATTTTTGAGCTTTATGAAACAAAGTACCCTATATTTTGTGGATGTACAGCTACATTTCTCATGTAAGTTTGCGTAGTTTTAACACAAACATTTATTTTTCATATTGCACCAGTACAGTTAATGAGCAACCTGTACTTGTGTGCTTGCTTGTTCTGTCTAAAATGTTTATTTTGGAATAAAGAGGTTAATATAAAAAATATTTTTTGTCCGATTCATCGATTAATTGAAAAAATAATCAGCCGATCCATCGATTTTAAAAATAATCGTTAGTTGCAGCCCTACTGCTAACAAAACGTTTCTGCATGTCTTTAACCTTCTGGCCATATATTTGTCTTTATTATATACAAGTTTTCTTAAAAAGAAAAAAAAGAGCTAAGCATCCTTACCCGTTTTATTTAACTTCTACTTTGTCTCAGTTAATGTTGGCTTTGTCTTGCAGGCGCTTCCATCTCAGGTTCCCTTGGAGCAAACCCCCCCCAGTGTCCTTGCTGCCCTTGCTCATGGGTTTGAGCAGCGGGAAGTCGAGTCTTCTAAACCAACTCACAAACTCAGGGTGGACTTCAAAGTAAGACAAGGCTCTTCTAGTAACACAGATTGGTTGGATTTGAAAAAAATCATTTTGTGGTTGCCATGTTTAATCAGCATGTCTTCCACCTAAAGTGCTACAGCATTAAAAAGAAAATAAATAAAGGTGTTTCTCTGTAAATTAGAAGTTGGTTGAAAAGTCTTGTTTGGTAACTTGATTCAAAAAAGTAAATTAATTAATCAAAAATCTATATTTTGGGGTTTTATTTAAACTCAAGACCAAATAAAAACCCAAATGTGAGTTTAGTTAATGTTTCTTTAGAGTAAGAACTAAAAATAAAAACTTAATTGCAGACCACTGAAAGGTTTATCTATGTATAGAAGAACACACTGCATAAAAATTAACTGAAAGTAGAATTGTTTAGAAATAAATGTATTTGCATTTTATAAGAGTAGATATATTATTTCAAGGTCATTATCCTTTTTCAGAAGAAATACATTTTCTATCGGCAGATAATTTTCTTACCTGCTCAAATCAAGGGAAAACACAATTCAACACATTTTAGCTTTAGATCAGTTTTGCAGTGGAGATGATCTCAGTACTTGGTTTGGGCTCCTTCTGTGTGGATAACTGCATGAATGCAGCATGACATGGATGATTTCAGCCTCTGCCTTGAACTAAACTGTTCATAATTTGTTTGTAATGGTATGCATGCCTACATGTTATGAAATCTGGCGTACCATAAAGAATAAATTATGAACAGTTTAGTTTGTGCCTTCAACTCGTTTGCTCATAGGAAGACGTTATTTGGATATAAGTTAATGGAATATCTTTAGAACGGCTCCAAATGACACAAAACTCATATAGGTGAGTAGAACATGATTTAATAATGTAAAATCAAGGGCCAAATGTAAAAAAAAAACTGCGTTCCCCTTTAAAGTTACCAAACTCAATAGAGTTCTATGCAGTTTATGGCCAGCAGGGGTCAGGGTTTTGTTAGAAATTCCCTAATCAGATAATCGTACTTTATTCTACTCAAAATAAAATCAGAGGGTTGTATATTAGTTGTGCAGAACCATTGGGAAAAACATTTTATCCTTTGCTGATAAGTAAAAAAGTCAAACATACATTTTTCTAAATACATCACAGAGGTGGGTTAGTGGAAAGAGCTACTGTAACTGTTGGGGTTTATTTTCTTATTTTCAGGAGGACTGTACTTTGGAGAATGTCTGGAATATGGGTGGTTTGAGTATTCTGACCTCTGCACCTGTCATGCCGCCCTACGTGTGCTTCCTTTGCGCCAGTAAAGGACAACATGAGGTGAATACCTGAGGCCTTTCTATGCGTCTGAGACCTTGTTCTGCCTCGGATCAACTTTAGATCAGTTCCTGGTTCTTTTTTTTTCCCTTTATGTTCCAGTCTTCTCGATTTCTCCTCCACAATACCTCAGATCATACTCTATGATCCTATTTTCTTCTTATATGTATTTATTTTAGGATTTTTTTTTGTATTTTTCCTATTCAACTATTTTTACTTTCATTTCCTGGTATTTTGGTGTCTTCTCTCTGTGTGCATGAAAACAATTTATTAAAACAAAACATAATTTCATTATCAGGTTTACTTTTTGTACATAAATCTTGCCCTTCTGAAGCTACTGTGCATGTACAACTTTTAACGAGAGTCAAAGGGCAAAGATTTTTGCGCCCTAGGGCGGAAATACGTCACCAATCCGATAAAAAAGGAATGAGGCTTTACTAGTCATTAAAGATTGAATATAGATCTTATAGATCTAAAAAAAATGTAGAGATATATTTCGTTTTACATTTTAATGTAAAGTTAAATTATCATATATATATATTATTTTTAATCTCTTAATTACGGTCATTGGGTATGGGGCGGCGCCCTCTTTTGGTCAGCCACCGCTGATTTAAATCTTTCCTTTCTAGCACATTTGTATCCCATATTTCAGATATGGACTTTACTTTATATAACTAAATTTGCAAAGGGGCAAGGAGTCAACCTCTATGTCCATTAATGAATCCATGATGTCATGTCTGAAGTAACCTGTTTTAAATTTACAGATGCTCTACTGCCAAGTATGCTGCGAACCCTTCCACCAGTTTTGCCTAGACCCTGCTGACCGCCCCTCAGAGGAAAATAAAGAAAATTGGTGCTGTCGACGCTGCAAGTTTTGTCATGTTTGTGGAGGGAAAAACAGACTCTCCAAGGTAGCAAAGGATAAACTTCCTTATTTTAGCTGCTAAAAACAGAAATGCAGAACAGCTTAAAATTGTTTCCCCCTTTCCAACATTGCTTTTGTCAGCCTTTATTGGAGTGTGAACGATGCCAAAACTGTTATCATGCTTCCTGCTTGGGACCAAACTATCCAAGGCAAAACAAGAAAAGGAAAGCCTGGGTTAGTATTCCCAGAAATGTTTTTGATCGTTCTATTATGCTTTATTATCTGGCTGAAAGGGATGTTCTTTTGCAGGTTTGTACAACATGCATCCGGTGCAAAAGCTGTGGTGTGACACCAGGAAAGACCTGGGACACGGACTGGAACCATGACAAAGGCCTTTGTCCAGACTGCTCAATCCTGTTTGATCAGGGTGAGTGGAGATTTAAGCTCTGCCACTTCATGGCCTCATTACTGACTTGACTGCTACCTCTTGTATTAATTTATATCAATTTATAATTTTTCATTTATTAACTTTTTTTTTTCCTTAGGTAATTATTGTCCAATCTGCTTCAAATGTTATGAAGACAATGACTACGATAGCCAGATGATGCAGTGCGGCTCATGCAACCACTGGGTACATGCCAGGTGTGAGGATCTAACAGGTGATTGTTAATTGATGGCTTTAATGATACTCCCAAATGCAGTGCTTTGCACAGTTATATCTACAGGTCCTTCTCAAAATATTAGCATATTGTGATAAAGTTAATTATTTTCCATAATGTAATGATAAAACTTGAACATTCATATATTTTAGATTCATTGCACACTAGCTGAAATATTTCAGGTCTTTTATTGTCTTAATACGGATGGTTTTGGCATACAGCTCATGAAAACCCAAAATTCCTATCTCACAAAATTATCATATCATTAAAAGGGTCTCTAAACGAGCTATGCACCTAATCATCTGAATCAACAAATTAACTCTAAACACCTGCAAATGATTCCTGAGGCCTTTAAAACTCCCAGCCTGGTTCATCACTCAAAACTCCAATCATGGGTAACCCTGCCAACCTGACTGCTGTCCAGAAGGCCATCATTGACGCCATCAAGCAAGAGGGTATGACACAGAAAGATATTTCTGAACGAATAGGCTGTTCCTAGAGTGCTGAATCAAGGCACCACAGTGGGAAGGAAAAGGTGTGGCAGAAAATGCTGCACAATGAGAAGAGGTGACCGGACCCTGACCAAGATTGTGGAGAAGGGACAATTCTAGACCTTGGGTGACCTGCGGAAGCAGTGGACTGAGTCTGGAGTAGAAACATCAAGAGCCACCGTGCACAGGCGTGTGCAGGAAATGGGCTACAGGCGCCGCATTTCCCAGGTCAAGCCACTTTTGAACCAGAAACAGCAGCAGAGGCACCTGACCTGGGCTACATAGAAGCAGCACTGGACTGTTGCTCAGTTTTACTTGTTATTTGGAAATCAAGGTGCCAGAGTCTGGAGGAAGACTGGGGAGAAGGAAATGCCAGAAGTCCAGTGTCAAGTAACCACAGTCAGTGATGGTGTGGGGTGCCATGTCAGCTGCAGGTGTTGGTCCACTGTGTTTTATCAAGGGCAGGGTCCATGCAGCGAGCTATCAGGAGATTTTGGAGCACTTCATGCTTCCATCTGGTGAAAAGCTTTATGGAGATGAAGATTTCATTTTTTAGCACGACCTGGCACCTGCTCACAGTAAATGCTTTACTGACGATGGTGTCACTTTGCTCAACTGGCCTGCCTACTCTCCTGACCTGAACCCCATAGAGATTCTGTGGGATATTGTGAAGAGAAAGTTGAGAGACATAAGACCCAACACTGTGGATGAGCTAAAGGCCGCTATCGAAGCATCCTGGGCCTCAATAACACCTCAGCCGTGCCACAGGCTGATTGCCTTCATGCAACGCCGCATTGAAGCAGTATTTTCTGCTAAAGAGATGAATGTTTGAATGAAGTTTTATCATTACATTAGTTTTATCATTACATTAGTTTTATCATTACATTATGGAAAATAATGAACTTTATCACAATGTGCTAATATTTTGAGAAGGACCTGTATATCCTTTGAACTACTTCATATTCTATCATGTCAAACCTACAAACTTCAACTAGTTGAACTGAGATTGTGTTATGGACATGTAATCTCATACTATCAGTAATGATTGATTGCAAGAAAAATAATACTTGTTTTAAGATTTTTTTACAAATTAAACATTGAAATCTCTTACTAATGTTAGAGCCTCATTCCTTTTAAGGGGCAAACAAAAAAAATATGAACAAATGAAAAAAACAAACAAAAAAAACCCAGCAAATTAGCATCATGTGAGCTAACGTTGCTGAATGCCATAAAGGAATCAGCAAACACATTCACCTGTCAGCTGACGCAAGAACTAAATGCTGGCCAATGTATTGGGCCATCTCTGCTGTAAAGATAAGATTTTAAGGTCTCAACATATTCTCTAACGGATTCGAGTTTGAGTAGAATATCTCAAGACTTTGTAGTCGTGATAAAACATGCATTTGATTCGAGCTGAACCACATTGCAGCTCTGTATCTCTGCAGCTTCTTCAGAATTATTATAGGACTGTTAGCAGCTCAGCCTGTCGGTTTAGGTGGACAGCCTGATAAGCTGTCAGTGGTACCAAAGCATTTCCTGTTTCACATTAAGTTTTAGATGTTGTTTGCTTGCGTTATTTAATTGCCTGACCTTGCTTGGATTGATCTCTGTTTGGTGCCTTGTAGAAAGTGTTTATATCTCTTTAAACTTCTTCACTTTATGAATTTTATCCCAGCATTGAAATTTGTATGTTGCTGTCTAACGCTTTCAGATGAGCTGTATGAGATCCTGTCCAGCCTGCCTGAAAGCGTGGTGTATTCATGCCGGCCATGCAGTGTGACCCAGCCGAGCGCCTGGAGGGAGCTGCTTTACATCGAGCTCAGAGCTGGGGTGGAGAAGGTGTTGGCATGCCTGCTCTCCTCCACTCTCACACAGCATCTTGTCACATGCTCACAGGTATAAAGAAAGCTCTACACCTTTATTTATAAAAACGTATGCCATGGAGACTTTTTTTTTTCTTTTTCATATGTGTAGTATGTTTGATGATGATGTAAATTGTGCAAGACATTGTTGTGGTTCTCTTGAAAAAAGGATTAATTTGTTTGGATAGACTGAAGTCTGAATTGGTTTCATTTGTATTTTGTTTTCTGCTTCAGTGTGAAAAGCTGGTCGATCCTGACAGTGTGGTTGAAAACCAGCCAGCCTGTGATCTCCGAGCTGTTGGCAAAAAGTTTGACAAAGGCCTCTACACCACCCTGGTAAGTACAACATTCCTTGTATCTGTTGGACAATGTAATTTGGCAAAAATTTCTAGATGAGGAAGAGGTGTTGTTCCTCTTCTTAAAAGTCTTCTTTAACCGATCTATTTCAACGTGACCTTTAGACTTGACATATCAGATGTTTATGTTAATGTTGAATTGCAGAACCTATTGAAACTGTTCTGTGTAATATATAAGCTGCTTATAGAACCGTTGCTGGCACCCTTAACTTCCTCTGTAGGAGCTCTCACACGTCAGCACTTCACCTTTATGTTATATATTTTTTCTGTCTTGTGGTTTATGTCACAAGCTGCGGCCTTGCTGTTATTTTCTGACTCAAAGAAGCATCTTTTCAAGACAACCTTTTCCTTTGCTTTGTCTGGAGATTGCACTTTGGTTTTACTAAGTGAAGTATGTCATGTCTGAGATGGATGATTCAGAGATATTTTTGTGACTAACTTGTTATGTGGAAGATTCCAGTATAGCAACATCTCGTTATTTCACATAGAACCTCTTCTTTTGGGCATGAATTGACAAAGATACTCTATTCGTCATAGGCTTTGCCATAGGAACTCACAATGTTTTTCCTCATGATTTTCCCACTTCTTGCTCTTCCCTTTTGGCTGGTTCCCTTTTTTGCTGACTATAAGCAGCGCAATGTCTACTACTGTATTCATTGATGTCAGTTGGAAACTACAATGTGATCACACAATACATGCAATCATTCACACTGTCGGGTTTTTTATATTGAGAAAGGTTACTGTAGGTGGTTTTACTATTGTCATCTGTGTGAAAGCTTCGACCACTCAGAGGATTACTTCCCCATTCCCAACAAGCTCATAGTAATAGCTGTCTAGTATAAGGAAGGAAACTTAACTGACATTACCTGATATCTGAAAGTCATGATCCGTGGCTAAATCAATACTCCTGTTCTTGTCTTTTTTTAGAAAATGTTCCATGAAGATGTGGTTCAAGTGATACGAAAAAGGCTTGAGCAGGAAGACCATCTCCCAGAGGAGCAGAGGCCCACTGCTCTGGCTCGCTCTTACTACCTAAAGGTACTGCATGGCCAAAGGATGCAGAACTCCCTTCATTTGACCTAATTTATACCCATAGATGGGCTTTTTTACACTTAAAGTTTAGTGAAATTGGGAATGAAAAAAAAAAATTGTGAGTAAATTTGGGTTGAAATTCAACATTTATTGTTGTTGGGTAATTTTTTTTTCTTTTTTAGCTTCTGGAAGAGGTTTTTAACTGGTTTAACAGCCAAGACCCAAAGCTGTGGAACCTTTCTGCCAAAGACTTAACACCGTGAGTTGTGATGATCTTTTAAAAGTTTGACAGTGTTCACAAATTGCAAAATGACAGTATTCCCTAGCCTCATGTGTTTTTGCATGTTTATCACAAGAAAAGAAATATGCTGCAAATGATAATCCAAGTCTTTATGGTCTCTGTTTAGAGGTATGCTGTCGACTGCTGTTCATCCTCCCACAACGGAACATGTTTACGCTCAGTGGCAGGAGAGGAAGGAGCTGCTGTCCAGGCCCCCGCTGGGCCTCCTTCAGGATGACAACGGACTACAAACACTGGATATAAAAGAGGAGGACGCGGCTTCTCCAATGTCAGGGGACTCACTGAGCCGAAACCACTTCAAAAATAGCCGGACAGCCAAACTCAAAGGCAACCCTGTTCTTTTAATATCATGGTGGGAGGCTCTGTGGGGGTTAGTTACTAAAGATGCTTACTTTATTCTTTCTTTGCTGCTGCTGCTGTTGTTGCAGGAAAAAGAGGCAGACTTTCAAAAGCTGACTTGGACACTGGGTGGTCCAAAGAGGATGAAAGGCAGTGCTCCTTGTGTCAGAAATATGGAGATCTCAAACCCAATGTAGGAAATCCAGTAACAGAAACATGGTTTCTTCCAACCACTCTAGCAGTGTTAACTCTTTTCTTTGACTCTGCAGGAAGCAGGAAGACTTCTCTACCTTGGCCAGAATGAGTGGGCACACGTCAACTGCTGTTTGTGGTCTGCTGAGGTCTTTGAAGAAGATAATGGCTCCTTGTTACATGTACACAGCGCTGTGACAAGGGGGCGGCTGATGGTCAGTGAAAAGATATTCTATTGCTAAATCCGCTAAAGTACATAAGTAGAAACCTGTGCTTTTTTGCAGACCAGCACAGAGAGTTCGGATATTCATATGCAACCTTCAACTGTTTGCTGCTCAGGACTCAGATTTCTGCTTGTTTCTCCACAATTTCTTTTACAACCTTATCAGCGATGCGAGCGCTGTAATCAGACTGGTGCCACCGTGGGCTGCTGTTTGACATCTTGTCAAAGCAACTACCATTTCATGTGTGCCCGTTCGCGACAGTGTGTGTTCCAGGATGATAAAAAGGTCTACTGCCACAAACACAGACATCTCATTAGTGGAAGGGTAAGTTCTGGTCCTCTGTTGGATGTAGAAACCATGTGGATCTGGGATTTAAGTGAACTTCCCTTTGTTTTCCAGATGATAACTGGTCAGGAGTTTGAAGTAAACCGCAGAGTCTATGTGGACTTTGAAGGGATCAGCCTTCGCAGAAAGTTCCTCACTGGACTAGAGCCAGAACTGATCAATGTTATGATTGGTATATTGTTCATCTCATACTTGATGGAAAACTTTCTCTTTGCTTTTTTATGCTAATTTGCCCTAATAATTGGTATTCTTGGCTTTGCTTCATAGGTTCCTTGCAGATTGAAAAGTTGGGTATGCTGTCTGAGCTTTCAGCCAGCAAAGGCAAACTGTTTCCTGTTGGGTTTCAGTAAGTAGTGGGTTTTTTTGTATTAAGAAACAAATTATTTATAAAGTATGTTGTATCCAAATATAGACAATGAATCAAATAAAATCATGCATTTTAATTGCCGTATATTCCGGACTATAGAGCGCACCTTGCCACGCCCACAAATTTTCTTTTTTCTTAAATTTAAATTTGCATACATAGGCCGCACTGTGCTGGCTATAAGCAGCTGAACTGTCTCCAGCCAAACCTGTAGGGGGAGCTCTACATTTATCCCATGGAGTAGGGAAGAAGAAGAATGCTAGCTCTTGTTAGCTTGTTTGCTCGCAGTTACAACATCTGAAAGACGGGGCTTCATCAGCTCTTTATTTCAGCTTTGCAGGAGTTGAGCCCAGCCTCTTCATTAGTTTGGCAGCTTTAATGCGGGAAATAAATGTCAAAATGTGTGAATTCAGGACATTTTTTTTCTCCGCTGTGCCTGCTGCTAGCATGTTCTTGTGCTAAAAGAAAATTAGCCACTTATTCTTTCATTTCCAACTTTGACTCCCCGCTCTGGCAGTTAGGAAAAATCAGCAGAAAAGCTGCACCTTATTATAGGCCTCGTGATTCAAAGTGTGGGGAAAAAAGCGCCAGCTTATAGTCTGGAAAATAGGGTAGTTAAAATCAAAATGTTCATGCAATTCGAAAGCTGAAACTTCCATATTAACATGAAAGTAGTTGGTTTTTATCGACTTATTAAATTTTGCGTTTTATTCTGATATAATGTGGTTATAACTTGTGAATGTTTCCACTGATGTGGACAATAACATTAACCTACTTTATTATTACAGAGAATCATATATTTCAAGCTTTTTATTTTTTTTTTTTTCTCCTATAGTTTGCATCATTTTGTCATAACTAAGGAGTTTTAATCCAGAAAGGAGAACCCTATCCCCAGCAGTCATGGGGATCACAGCTGACTTGAGTGTTTTCCGGCTGACAATGACTAACTCCTTCACAAGGAGCATAGAACACACTACCTCAAGTGTATAAAAAAAAAAAAAAATGAGCAGAAGGCATAATTCTTGAGCGCTTGAGAGAAATATGTTTCTTAAATCCTCTTGCTTCATTTTGCTGACAGGGAATTTACAGTAATCTCTGTATGATGTCATCAGTTTCAACACCTGCTTAAATTACTTACTAGTCTTATGCAGTACTAAAAAAAATGATTTTTCACTAGCTTTAAGTAACGATGATCAGAATTCACTCAAATAAACAAAATCTGTTGTTTTCAATTAAATTACTAAAGCAATTCTAATAGATAGTCATTACTTAAAGGTGAACCTTAAGTTGAATTTAATATTAGTTTGGTTAAAGTAAGTTAAATGATTTTATAACTATTTTCCAGGTGCTCTCGATGGTACTGGAGTACCCTGAACCCACTGCGACGGTGCAGATATACCTGTAAAATTCGGGAGGTGCGGCCTGTTGTCCAGGAGAAGCCTGTTGAAGAAATGCCAGACCAGGGAGACAATCACACTATCGCCCACAGTCCACGTCAACTGCCTGGTGTGTAAATTTAGCAATGGAAAAAGTATTTTTGTCACGTAGTATACTTTGACAGTTTAGGGTTTGATTAGAATTAAGTTATCCGAGTGTAGCAGCAGCAAAACGACAGGAAATGGAACCACTTTGACACATAGCAGCAGTGACTCAGAAAGATAGCAGATGTGATAAAGAAAATAAAGATATGGTCTTCACATCCACTATGCAGTGTAAGAAAAAAAACATGCTGATGTTAAAATAAAATAATCTGTTCAAAGAAGTGTGAATGTGTAAGACTGTTCAAAAATATTTAAAGCCAGCTTGTTTATCTTTACAAGAATACCAGACTATTAGTAAGAGTGTGAAAAATGTGCAAATAACAGTAGGATCGAAGAAGCTAAAGTTGTCTTAAATGTTTGGTATGAATCTACAGGAGCTTCTGTCGAAGAGGCAGAGGAAACGGAAGTCCACCACCCTTCAGAGGAATCCCATCTTCTCTGTCTTCCCCCAAAGTCTGATCATAGTACAAAGCCAAAAATCCCCAATCATCCTCTTCATCGGCGACCAGCTGGAGGTCTGTCTCGTCCTCTGCCATGTCCAGGTATGTAATCTTTTTTTTTCTTTTTTTTTTTTTTTAAGAGATCCTATTTATAAACCATGTTAAACAGAAGATACTATGTTCTAATTCATTATTTCTTTTACTTAGGTGTAGTTCAGACTAAACCCCACCACATCCTGACCATAAGTGATCTAGAGGAGACCCGGAGAGCTCGCCGCCACAGCCCACACTCTGGGACACCAGGCCTAAAGAGTCGTATGTCCCCGCCCCCCGTTGCCCCTCTAACCGGACCCATTACCCTCCGTGCCGGGAAATCTCCTCACCCAACCTCCCCTTTGTTTCCACTCGGTGTTTCAGACAACCTGATGAATTCATCCCGCTCAGTCGGTGGTAGAAACGCTTCCTCAGTCCGCGCCACATCGTTCTTCCCTCAGTCTCACTGGCATGAGAACACAACCACCATGCAGCAGTTACCCAGGAGCCGCCTGTCCTTTGATCTGAGTGGCTCCGATTCAGTTGAGGTGCCGCACAACTTTTTAGCTTCACCGGAGCCAGAAGACGTCTCTCCAGCAAACGGCGCTTCGCCCCATGGCGATGTAGACAAGCACGGTGACCATTTTCCATACGACTCCTTTCACAGAGAGTCCAGCATAAGTCTGGGTGAGGAGATGCGAACAGAACTGGAGATTGAAGAAACACTTCTGAACGAAGGTGTGGCAATGAACTGCGGGGGGCAGATAGTGGTGGAAGGTGATGATGCGGAGCAGTTTTGGGGAAGAACCAAAGAGGTACGGAAGAGGAAATCCCTTGTTGCAAATCTTCCACGTTCTGCAGCCTCGGCAAAGGAAGATTTGGGAAGCACCTCCTCAGATGATGATATGGAGCACTACTTGAACTTTTCAAGAACTGTAGTCAGCTGCCCAGCATCCAAAGATCGATCTAAGTCTCCTTGCTCCTCTTCTTCAACCCGGCCCTTGGCTCAGCTGGATGGGATAGATGACGGTACTGAGAGTGACGCAAGCCTAGCGGCTACCGATGATTCTCAGAAGGTTGATGGACCTGGGAAAAATGAGATAAAAAGAAAAGACCTTCATAATAAAAGTAGTGAAATCACAAACAGAGCCAAATTAGCTAATCTCTCATTTCACCACAACCAAGCAGCACCTTCAGGTGCTAGAAAAGGTACAGCTGACAGCCCCCCCCAGTGTCCGCCGATATCCTGTGATGCCTCAAACACTCCTTTGATAGATCATGAATCTATACCTCCTACTCCAGGTGTCGAGGCTCTTCCTAACTTGCTCACTAAGGTGCCTGAGACGTGCTATTCAGACCCGTTGTCGTCCGGTTCCAGTTTAGGCTTTGCCTCTGAAGCGGCGCTTGTGCTTGAGAGATGTGACGGAAACCCAAGTTTCACTGAACTGCTTCCTGTTGTACAAGGACCTGAAAGCCAGCAGAGTGAAATCTGCGAAGCCCTGAACTCGGAGTCCGACGGCCCCAACTTTACGTCTTCAGCCGAAGAACCTGCTGTTTTGACGAACCATATAACATCTGATCTGATGGATTCAGCTGATAATAGCCAGAGCTCCACGCTGGGCCTTCTCCAGCCCCCCTCTTTTATGCCTACAGATGTGCAAACCCCCTCGCAATGCCTCGTAGATTCTCTTGAGGTGTATCCCTGTTTACCAGGTTTCAGTAATCCTCCTCTAACCAGTATCACACTTCAGCCAGTAGCACCACCTCAGGAATCCCAGAACTTCCCCTGCATTGAGCCTTTGTCCTCTAAACTGACAACCCTTACTCCTGTAGGAGATGTTATCCAAACGCCGCTGAATGACCCTCAGAATGATCCAGCATTACCAGCTTGTTTAGGGACTGGTTCCCCAACGGAAACTTGCGCTGCTCTGTTCTCTGCTCAGACGCATCCGTTCAGTTCTGGCACCGCTGTTTCTTCCTCTGTTTCTGTATCAACTCTTCCTGGGCTGTTAGCACAGGGTGCAGCCACTCCAATACCGCTGCAGACCACTTCTGCTCCTGTGGTCCTGAACGGTTATAGCTCCTCCACTACACAGAAGGAAGCAATGTCCAGCCACACAATCTCCATCAACTTCTCCTCTCAGAGGCAAGTGATAGAACCTCACCAGCAGGTGCTGCCTCAGGCATTACCTGGTCACGCCATCCTTACTGTGAAAGAGGTCGGAGGTCCGAATGTAGATCCCACTCCTCATGTTTTGTTGGTGAACCGCCTTGGGCAGATCTTTGTGAAGAACCCTGAAAACAATGCATTCCAACTGCCCACTCCGAATTCCTCATCCTATAACTGTGTCACCCAGATTGCCAGTCTTTTGCAGAGCAACGCTCTCTCAGCCACACTGGCTGCAGCTGGAAACATGACTGTTGCTCCACCTGGCACCAGCCTGACGGCAGCTTCTGCTACCGCCACACCGTCGGCTCAGAACCCAACCACAGTTACACAGCTGCTCACACACAACAGCAACGGCGCCGTGGCCTCATCCAATTCCAAGAAGCCCAGAAAAAATACAAAAACTCTGAAAGATGAAGCAGCCTCTGAGCTGAAGAAACCAAAGAAGAAGAAGGAGTCCAGTTCATCCAGGAAATCAAAGTCCTCCAAGGCTGCAGGACAGCCTGCCTTATCTACTGAGACTCACCAGATGAGTCCCGCCGAGAGCGCCCAGGCGATCATCAATCAAGCAATGGCGAGTAACTACACCCCAAAGTGGACCGGGCTCCGGACAATGAGTCCTTCCTCACTGGTTCTACCGCCTGGCCTTCTAATTGAGCCCGAATCTCCAGTATCGCCACGTTCTCCTTCACCTCCAGCACCACCGCCGCCACCTCCAGCCCCTCGGCCTCGTTCCCACGTCCGCATGAAGAGAGTGTCTTCCCTCTCGGACCGCATCGTCACGAAGAAGTGTAAAGTTGACTTCCTGCCACCAGAGGGCATCAGCGAAGAGGAGGAGCCCCGTAAAGCCGCTTTTCCAAGCGCATCCAACAGGGCCTCAGGAGTTCGCATTAAAACCCCAACAGTGAAGGGCGTCCTGAATCTGGATGAGATGAAGGATGAACATCTTAGTGATTCTGAGAGCTCAGGGTGAGTTTTTATACAAGAGCCTTGAATTATGCTTTTGGAAACCTTTCTAACATTATCATTCTCTCTGCAAGTTATTGTTGGGCGGGTTCTTTTGTTTGTTTTTGCAATAATTTCTCATGATATGTAGTTGCACATTAAGGAGCACAGAGATGCAAAAACTATTTCCAGCGGCATAAGTACCCTCCGCCCAGGTTTTTCCCTAATAAAACACAAAAAAACGGTTTAACCCAAAAGTGGTCTGTCAGATAAGGGGACAGAAAAGGGTTTTTTAATTTGACTAAAATGGTTCTTTTGACAAGAAGTAACATTAATGTTTTAGAGAAGTGTGAATCTTTAAATCCTCAAAGGTAAATCAAAACGGCAGCCAAAGATGCAAAACGCTGGTCAGAATTATAAAAAAGGGCTCGATTGCTGTATGCAACTAAGACATTTTCCATTGATTATTAAGATGGAAATAAGTTAAGAAAATAACCTTTACTTATTATTGTTCTGATTTTTATTTGTTAAAGTTTAAAATATTGAATTTTGTTCCACTCTTCATAAAGAATTACAATTTTATGTTTTGTTTGCTTATGTTCATAATGTCTAAAAAAACAAGAAGCTCAGTGCTAATTATTTTTCAACCCCTTATTTTAATAAAAAAAAAAAGGTTTCAATAAAATATGATAGTATTGACAACGTACTAAACCTCTCTGATGACTGCAAACATTTTAGTGCAATGCTTTATTTACGCTTCATTGACTCCTTGTGTTTTTTCCTCCAATGAGAAATGACCATAACAAAACTGTTGATAACCTTTTGCTCCGAATGTGCTGATGCATATACCAGCTGGCCGAACGAAACCGGACTACTTTACTTTGGAGACTTTCTGCTCGTGTCTGTGGCAAAAGCATTAACCCTCAAAGTAAAAAAATGTGGCATTAATGTTAATTTTAAAAAGGTTCATTTATTTATATATATATATATATATACAGGGTTCCCGCGGGTCCTTAAAAAGTCTTAAAAGGCATTTAAGTCTTCAAAATAAAACTAAGGCCTTAATTGGTATTAAAATGTCCTAAATTATTCTTTCGTAGGTCTTATTTTTTAAAATATCATAAATACGATTATTTTTATTACGATTTAATTTTGTAATCTAAATAAAACATTTAAATTGAAAAAAAAAATGTTTTATTTGAAAAAAAAATAACGGCTCGCCATTATTGGTTCTGTCCCGATAGCGGAACCAATAAAAGCGTTGTTGCTGCCAGGATATTTGGGAGATGCGCCATTAACTTTTTGTCTGGAAAATATGAGCAAGTGTAAATGAGGCACAGTGTATTTTATCCAAGTCATTCAAGCTCGGAACGATGGGAATTAAGGCAGTGGAGTCACATGCGAAGCACGAAACACAAGGCGTCAAAATCGAGTAACTGAGAACCAGCCGGTATTTCTCAGTTTAGTTCCACCCTTGTCTCTGCAACGCCTCCACTTATCACCAAATCAAACATACTAAGAAAACGATACGAAGAAAAATA